CTTAGTTATGTAGCATCTTTTTCTGTCACATCTGATTGGGTTACAGGTGGATTTTTTTTTTTAAGGTGTTTGTTGTCCTTTTTCCTCTCATTGCAGTAAATTGCCATTCACTGACCACTTATAAACTTTCAGAGTAGATTTTTTTTTATTGTAGGCCCTTTATTTTTAATCATTAGGAAATAAATCCCGCCTAGCCTGTATGCAGTTATGTGATTTGATATACTATTTTTACTAAGGTTATGTGAGCTATTAAAGTGTAAACTGAGAATTGTTTCATGATACATTTTATATTTTCATAGTGTATCTGCCTCTAATATATTACAGAAGGCAGTTGACAAATCATGTAATTGACATGTACTTTATTTATAGAACAGTATGATGCATTTGTGAAGTTCACACATGATCAGATAATGCGAAGATATGGTGAACAGCCTGCTAGTTGTAAGTATTTTGCCTTTGAAGTAATAAACTGAAAACAAGACTATCCTTTAAGGAGAAGACATGATAATTTTTATACTGAAGAAGAAAATTTAACAGAAAACATGGAGAAAAAGCCTGAAGGCAATAGGCAGCATAACTTTGCAAGGCTTACTTAAATACCTAGGGGCAATATTGGGAATGAAAGTCTGGTATATGTTTGAATTTTAACTTGTACTTTGCACTAATTTTTCTTTTCTCCCCCTTTAGATGTTTCATGAATCATATTTTCTGCATTTGTGGGCTGCCTTGTTCCTTGTTGTTGCAGGAGGTCCCAATTACGACATGCAGCAATGCCAATACTCCCCCTGTGAATACAGGTTATTTCAAGCTTTCATCAGTGGCAACCAACCACTCTTAGGCAGCAGCAACTGGTTTTGGAAATTTCCCTGATGTCAGTACCACCTGGAAGTGGACCTTTGCTACCCGTGTTAATATCAGTGGCCTCATTTTGCTGTATCATTACAATTTGGCTTCTTACGTTAATGTTTGAAAAGGATTAAAGCTGGCATTCTATAACATGCCCTTCACTGGTTGTATAAATAAAACTGTAGAATGACACTCAGATGAAGTTAGTGTGATTTTAATTGTGCACTACAACCAAGCTGTAACCAGTTATTAATATTTTAGAATGTAATCCCAGGACATTATTAAGCAAATAGCCTACAGTACTTCCTGTGAAATAGTGAAGGAGGAGGGCATTTCTGTATTCCAGGACTTTTTGGGGTTTCAGAATGGGTTTATATGATTTCTCTTTTTTTTGTTTTGTTTTATTTATTCTATCAGTCTTTTTAACAAATGTTTATTGCTGCAATTTTTTCCAGTGTATCATTGTTTTACCACCCATGTAGTACTGGAATTTAGTTGGAAGAATAAAACATTTACTTCTCTTCTGCCTGTTTTTTAATGTACAGATGGGTAGTATTTGAATAAAGCCAGTGTTTTAAATGTAAGCACTTTTCAGGAATCAAGTTAATTTTCTGATAAGATTTAAGATTTGAGTGCTGCTGTTTTTGAAAACTGACTTCTGATTTTGAATTGCTACTTCAGTAACTTATTGCACTATAGAATTTTATATAATAGGTCAGGTTTAACAGCTGTAGGATTTTTACCTCATAGATATCACTAGAATCCAGTTTTGTTGTTTTAGGGACTTTTTATGCAGAAGTATGATTCAGCAAGTTTAACTCACTTTTCACACACGGTTTCCAAACCTAGCTTTCCTAATGAAGTGAGAAATACTTTAGTGAATTCCTTTGTTTAATTTTGATAGCATATTTCCATTAATTAAGGCAATCCTAAATGTACTGGGACATACAAAGGTACTTCTAAAAAGTTCATGGAAAGATAATACAGGTTTTAATTCTGTTTCTCCACGAACTTATCAAAGTACCTTCATATACATTTATTATTGATCTAATTAGTGTAGGAAAAGATTTTTTTTTAAAACTTTGGTAATTATATTTTACCAATTTTTTGTTTAAAAAAAAACAAGCCGAAAAAGTGTTGTAGGGCTTCACAAAATCCCCAGGCAATTCGTATGCTAATTAGTGTTTGAAAAACACTGGTACAGTATTGCATTGGTACAGCATAGGGTGGCCTTATAAATAAGGTGGACCTGCTTTTAATGGTCTAATATGGAGATTCTCAGCCTCACCATTGGCAGTTTGAGTGGGTTATTCCTGTGCATTGAAGGATGTTTAGAAGCATCTCTGGCCTCTACCACTAGATGCCACTAACATACTACCTCCATCCCCCAGTTGTGACAACCAGAAGTCATTTTCCAAACATCCCCAAGAGACAAAACAGTTCCCAGCTGAGGACCAATGGTTTAGCAAGATCACATTTTTAGGAGAACGCAAGCAGTAAGTTAAAATATGGAGGTGTGCAGGCCGGCTCGGTGGCGCACTGGATTAGTGCGCCCCTTAGGAAGCGTGGCGGCGCTCCCGCCCGAGGGTTCGGATCCCACATACAGACCGGTTCCC